CCAGAAAGAAGCCGATCGAATCTTCATTATGCCGTTAACGAGCCCTGAATATATCGCCGTTTAACAATAATACCCCTCGAATCTATTAAAAACCGTTATTCAAATTCTGTGGCCGGAACCCATACTGCGTCGAACCAATTCGCACTGTGACGGAAAGTGGATGGGCTCGAGCTGGTACCCCGCTGCTAATATATTACACCTTCCGAGGTACTTGCCTGCTATTTACTTTCCTGATAGATTCTGATGACCTCTATGTCCTTACCAGAATTGCCCGAGAATTTATGAGTCGAATTTTCAGCACGGTTTGTTTGCTGCTGTTCCTGCGTTTTATTAACGGTACCACTAACATTTATTGCTAATTATTCGTTATAGAAACTGGTGTGTACTCACTGGATCAGATGAATTTACAAGTGTGTAGTTTCTAGTTTAAAAAGATTATGCTTAAATGTGTATTTAAATAGATAAGGCCACAATACCACTTTAATGCACAACTTTTAATTCATAACTCCCATTTTTATGAATAATTTAATAATTTTGAAATCTCAAAGTATCTACTGTTCGATTTGCGCGATTTGGTCATCAAGAGATTCGATATAAGACACATTTTCGAATTCGAGGTATCGAGGGAAATCAAGAGACTTCCAACGTCTCGCACTTCTTAATATCATTTGACCATCAGAAATGTTCGAGCTGTCATTGCATTTTGCAAGATTGTCCCACCAATATTAGCATAAATTTCTATAAAACAATTCGAATGATCATTTCGATTACATGGTAGTAATCTCGGGATAACTCCTTTTGTTTTCCCACTTCACCAAACTCGAGATCACTAATCCTTCAGACAAATTAGCGGAAAATGTTTGATTTGAAACTAACGGGTTTTTCGGGTTTTTCGGTATTTTAATTTAGAATTTCTTCCTGACGTTTCGCAAGCACGAGTGGCTTGCATCTTCAGAAGTGGTTTGCTTGAACGCTTACACTGTTCTCATCAGAACCCCCGTTCAGTTCT